TGTCTGAGTCCTGGGAGATTCTGAACACCCCTCTCCAGAGGCATTTGGGGGGAATTTTCAAAAGTACCTACGTGACTTAGGAGCCTAAGTTCTGTTGGCAAAAGTGGGAGTTAGGTGCTGAGATGCTTTTGAAAATCCCAACTACAACTTTTGGTGCATAAATGCCTTTAAAAATTTGGCCCTGAGTGCTTAAGTCCCCTCTGAAAATTGGAGGCACCTAAATCACTTGGGTACGTTGAACTATGTTACCTTCAATTCCTTACAGGCTGGAGCCCATATTTTTTTTAAGGGTTAAATACTGTACACATCTGAGAATTCAGACCCGCTTTTGCCAGCTACAGTCGTTCATTCTGTCATTCAGGCTGCCCTTCACTGTCTCTCACACCATGAAGAGCGGATAGGAAAATACTGGTACTTACGAGTGATGGTCACTTGGGTTCCGGCTCCTGATGCAGACCAGTTCCTCGCTGTGCTCCCCACCTCACACACGTAGGTTCCTGTATCGGTTACATTCACGTTCTTCAGAGTGAAGGAAGCAAAACCCTCTTCCAAAGCCAGGGCTGCTGGGCCCCCAACTCTTTCGCTCATCAGCTCCTTCTTCGTTCCCCCAGTTCCGCTATGTTTATACCATTTCACATACAAGGTCTTGTGGTTTTTCAATACCGTGAATCTACACTCCATGGTGAGATCTGACCCTTCTGATGCATGGATATTGGGTGGGGTCTGATTCACCATCAGCTCAGGAAAATCTGCAGGAGAGAAACAGAGACGATTGCACCTTGATGCAGGAGAATTTCAGTGGCAATGGCTGGTGACTGGGGATGTATTAAAAGAAATGTCTCCCCCTCCAGTATTTTGTGTTCTTTTCCCAGCCTGGCCATTTAACATCCCCTGCTTCTCAGAGGTTAAAGTGATGCTTTCACTTAGGCTTGGTCTACACTACCCCCCTAATTCGAACTAAGGTACGCAACTTCAGCTACGTGAATAACGTAGCTGAAGTCGAAGTACCTTAGTTCGAACTTACCTT